GAGGCTGGCTGAGAGGCTGGCTGCGAGGCTGGCTGAGAGGCTGGCTGCGAGGCCGCGCTTCTGTAGAAACGTGCCTCACAGGCGCGTTCCCACGACAAACAACATCCCAAATTATCTCAAACTCAACTTAAAATCTGGAGATCAGCTGCTTCAACTGAAACCCGGTGAAGCAAAACTGGAAGCAACAGAATGCAGCCGAAGCTCTTTCAAAATAAATCAGGACGTGGTGTTAACTCGGGTTCAGATCTCTACCTGTTCTCCTTTCGGTCCTGGTGCTCCTGTTGGTCCTTCTGCTCCCTGCAACACATTTGACTCGTCAAGGCATAAATAAATAAAAATAAAAATCCTTGTGAATGCTACTTTTATTGAAATATGTGAATGGAAACAACCGTACGGTGTTGCCCTTTTCTCCAGGAGCGCCACACTCTCCTCTCTCCCCCTGCAAAGACCAACAGGTTGGTTAAATTTATGAGACAAACATTAATCACCGTTAGGCTACAGATTTGCACCGACCCTCACCTTGTTGCCTTTATAGCCGGGACGTCCCTGGAAAAGTTTTTAGAAAAATCAAATTCGATCAGGACGTCACCGAGAACCTGAACGAGAAAAAGAGACGCTTCTTACCTGAGGGCCGTCACTTCCAGGTTGACCGTTAAATCCAGGCTCGCCCTTTAAAAAGAACACAGCTCACAGTGAGCCGCACAGAACCAAACGCTAAAACATTTTAGAAACGCTTCATTTGATGTGATACTCAACCCTCGCTCCTTTTAGACCCAGCAGCCCCCTGTCTCCTGGATCTCCTTTACGGCCCTGCTCACAGGATCAAGATAAAAACTGTCACCTCCTCAAATACTGATGCACAAAAATCCCTCACATCAGGCGCTTCTTTAACCCTGCTGCTGCCACTGAGAGAAAATGATCCACGAGATCTTAGTACTGAGGTCTGGTGGGTCAATTTGACCCAAGGGCAGCAGCAGGGTTAAACCTGTACAACAATGAACTGTGACTGTTGAGTACTGTATACTGGATACACAAAAACTGCAAGGAAAACAAAATGTACAATTTTTCTGTGGGGATCCCTCCTAATCTGTACTACTATTACTACCACTATTACCACTACTAATATTACTACTACACTACTACTACTACCACTACTACTACTACTACTACTACTACTACTACTACTACTACTACTACTAATAATAATAATAATAATAATAATAATAATAATAATAATAATAATAATGTGAGGATTGTGTCTCCCTCGTGTGGTCTGTTCCTGCTCTCCTGTTTCCCCTTCATGTGATTAGGCCTCGCCTCCCACCTGTTGTCTTCCCAGGTGTTTGTATTTATCTCCTCATTAGTGTGTCTTTATATTCTGCGTTTTGTTTGTGCTTCCCTGTTCGAGGATTATCCTCCTACTGGTGTCGTGATCTGTCTCTGCCCCTCTTGTGATCCCCTCGTCTCTTATGAGTAAGTTTTGCTGCCACGTCAGCTCTTGTTTTGTTATCATTAAATATTATTCTTTATTTTATCAGAGTTTCCTGTGTCTGCCTGCACTTTTGGTTCAACAAACTAGCAGATCATGAATAATAATAATAATAACAATAATAACAATAATAATAACAATGATAATAATAATGTATAAGACTTCGAGACTACTTCGAGACTACTTCGAGACTACTTCGAAACTAGTTCAAGACTGGTTCAAGACGGGATTGAGACGACTTCAAAACTAGTTTGAGACTGGTTCAAGACTGGTTCAAGACTGGTTCAAGACAGGATTGAGACGACTTCAAAACTAGTTTGAGACTGGTTCAAGACTGGTTCAAGACTGGTTCAAGACAGGATTGAGACGTTTGAGACCTGTTCCAGATGCCCGAGATGAATGTCTCTATTTTGAGAGTTTGTTTGTCAAAGTTTAATTCCTACAACACAAGAGCGAGGCCTCTGCAACTCAAGCAAAGACAACTGAGAGCTCGTCTGAGCATCTTGAGTCATTTTGGAGATTCCCTCAAGAATTCCCTTCACAATTTGTCGCCATTAGTGGCAGCCCAGTGAGATACGAGCTCTAGAGCTGAAGACTTAAAGTTATTTAGAGGACCAGATTTAACTTTTTTAGATTTTTCTACCTGGATTATTGAGCATGCATCAGGATACTTAAAGTTATTCTTCTCCTGAGGTAAGAGATGCACCCGTTGAACCAATTGTAAGTAGGAATACGGAAACATTGTTATAAAGATTGTATAAGCTGTTAACTTGTTCTAATTAAGGAGAGGCAGAGGAGAAAAAACTCTAACATATAACATTTTTAAATGTAGGGGGTAAAAATATGTTGTGACGGTCAGGAAAACGTCATTGTTAAGAACTGAATTACACAATAACACACTATTTTGCATATGCAGAATTATTTATGGTACCAACGTGTTTAATCCATACACTGCTCCAGTCCAAATCTGAGTCTGGAGTTTTTAACAAGTTGCTAGCTTCAAAGTTTATCACGCAAAACTGAAAAAAGTTTGTTCTCAGACACTCACAGGTTTTCCTTGAAGGCCCCGCTCTCCTTTTTTACACAAACACACCTGGTTATGCGGACACTAACGAAAAGGAACAAAAAGTCATTGAATTTATTAACTGTGAGTAATTAAAGAGATGAAAGGCTGAAGTTTATTAACATACTCACCCCTTCAAGAGCAACTGCTCCCTGAATGAAAAACACAAACAGAGGAGACGTTTTCTGTCATTAACTAACAGGAAGTAACTCTGTATATGCATTTATTCATGACTTCTTTCATTCTTCATCCCTTTCTTTCCTGGTCAGTGTTGCTTTCAAACAAACAAATAAATAAAGTAAACAAACAAAACCCTCACAGTCAGAGAATGGGTCAGCTTGTGTCGCAACAAACTTTAGAGATTGTAAAAAAAAAACTAAAAACTAGAAACGATTCTGCTTACTAACAGCATATATTTGATAAAGAAGCTAAAACGGACTTATTAAAGTTAAAAGTAGCAGGACATAAGCTAATAGCCAAAAAAGCAAATGCTAGCTAATTGTCAAAAATGGAAAAGGACAAAAGGCAAACTAAAAATAGTAAAACAGTGGCTAGAAGTGAAAAATAGCAAAAGGCTGGCTAAAAGGTAAAAGTCTTGGAATGTTAGCGATAAGTAGCAGATTGCAAGCTAAAGCTAAAACTAGCAAGTCACAAGCCAAAAGAAAAAAGTAGCAAAACACCAGCTTTAGCCCAAAGAAAAAGAATAGCTGAACTAAATGTAGCAAAAGGCTAAAAGTAACAAAATGGTACCAAGAAGCTAAATGTAGCAAAAAGCTAGCTAAAAGTAGCAGTAACTAACAGCTAAAAATAATGCAATGCTGACTAAAACCTTAAAGTCCTTTAACAAAAACTAGTACATTTGAAGTTTATTTTTGCAAGTATACTTTAAGTTAAGTATAAGTATATCAAGTATACTACACACCATACTTGTAGTGTACTAGAAGTATACTGATCTAATACTTGTTTGGACTAAATTGGGACATTTTTATACCATTTTTAAGTATATCAAATAAAGTTTATAAAAAGTAAACTTCAAGTACACATCCTCAGTTTTAGTGTAAAATAAGCATACTTGTAGTACACTTAAATGTTTTGCTAAGGGGTAGCAAAACAGTACCTAAAAGCTAAAAGTAGCAAATTGTTTGTTAAATGTCAAAAGTAGCAAAACACTAGCTAAAAGTTTCTAAACAGTAGCTAGAAGTTGCAAAACAGTAGCTAGAAGCTACATGTAATAAAAGGTTAGTTTAAATCTTGAGATGAATATTGGCTAAATGCTAAACCTAGCAGAATGCTAGTTAAAAGTTAAGCATAGCAAATCAATACCTAGAAGCTAAAAGTAACTAAATGCAAGCTAAAAGGAAAATGTAGCAGGAAGGTATCTAGATGCTGAAAAAAGCAAATCGCTAGGTAACAGCTAAAGCAGGAAAGCACCATGTAAATGCAAAACTCAAATGTTAGCTAAAAGCCTAAAGTGGCAAAACACTTGATAAAATTAACAAAACAGTAGCTAGAAGCTAAAAGTGCCAAAAAGCTAGCTAAAAGCTAAAAGTAGCATAAGAAAAAAAAAAATAGAGCAAGCATGCAAAAAAAAAAAAAAGCTTAAAGAAAACTATTTTTCTAAACATTCAGATTAGGCGTACAAGATGTTTGGTTTGGACTTTTCTTTTTACTCGCCTACATGTAGCTTTTAATCACGTAAATGAAAAACGTGAAATAGTTTTATACTTTTATTCTTTATATCTCTCTTGTTTCGGCTGTTCCACAGCGAGTCATCATCCTCCGTCTTACTTTGTCCTCTGCGTCTTCTGTCCTCACTCCAACTTCCTCCACGTCATGTATCAAACAACATACTTTGTATCATGCTCCACCCCCCCATTTGTCTTCCATTTAGGAATGTTGTTTGTATCTTTTGGAGCAATGATAGTGCTTAGTTTGGTTGTAGGGATTATTTTTTAATATTTGTTTGATTCTAGGAGATCATCTGAAGATCATCAACCTGGTGTTTTGTGACCCTCGGTGGACTTCCAGCCTCTGGTTTAGAGCAGGAGCCAACAAAAGCTTTTAATCACTTGTGTAACATAAAGTGTGGAATATTTATTGATGTTGTGAAACAAATGGGGAGTTCATTAGATCTAACTGCTACAGTTAGTCCTCCCACAACAAAACCAATGACGGTGCTTCAGGATGTGAGCACCATGTCACTCAGCCTGAACACACCATCTCCTTGAGCAGCTTCTCCTCCAGCTGAGGGTCCTGCAGACTTTGGACAAACTGGTGAGCAGGTGAGCTGGCGATGGCGCGGAGCTTGTCGGTGTTCTCGCTCTGCTGGGCCACATCCGACAAGCCGACAGTGAAGAGCCTGATGCCGCGACCTTTGGCCTCCGCTGCAGCCGCCAACACGTTGGGGTTACGAGGATGGTCGACCCCGTTGGTCATCAGCACCGCGATCCTGACGCTGTCTTTGGGCGTCTCCTGCATCAGCAGCTGGGAGGCATTGGTGATGGCGTAGGTGGTGTAGGTGCCTTGGCCGATGTAGCCCATGGCGTCGACTTTCCCTTGAAAAGAGTCCAGGTCTTTCCAGTCCGTGAACCTGTGCTCGACGGACACGGAGCTGCTGAACTGGAGCGCGGCGATCCGCACCTTCAGATCCCAGCCGGTCACCTGCAGCATGGTGAGGCGGGTGCTGAACCTCAGCACGAAGGCCTTCTGCTGCTCGAACAGGATCAGCTTGGTGCTCTCAGAGCTGTCCAGGATGAACGCCACCGCCAGCGAGCACGCTGAACCTGAAAGTGCAGGAAGGTGTCAAAAGCGAGACCCCACATCGGGTTATTATCACCAGAAGGAGGCGGCTGATAATGTTTAGGACTGTGTCGGACATTTGGGAAAGTATCTCATGAAACTTTTGATAAATATGAATAATTTGTGCTGAAAACACTGAATGAATCTACAAATGATTACTTTTCCAAGAACTTTCAAAGAAAATTTTATTAATTTTTTTGTTTTATTTCATACATTTTCGTGATTTTTAATATTTGTAACTTTTATATTAAAAAAAAAGTACATTTAACTTCATTAGCTCAGCTGGTAGAGCTGTTGCCTCTCAGCGAGGAGGTTGCTGGTTCTAATCCCAGTCAGATCATCGTTCTTTCTACTTGAGCTACTGACTTTTTTGATCACTTTAACTTTCAGCTGTTTTACTCTTTTAGCTTCAAACTTGCTAATTTTACGCTTCATGAACAATTTAGCTCATTTTTGCTTTCAGCTAGAGTTTAGATTATTTACCCTTTAGCAACAGTTTTGCTCATTTTAACCAATAGCTATGGTTTTGCTAAGTTTAGCTACAGTTTTAGTTTTTATCCTTTAGCTACAGTTTTGTTAGTTTAGCTTTTGTTTGGCTTTATTGGTGTTGAGCTAAAAGTTTATGCATTTTAGTTTTAGCTATGTTTTTACTTTTATCCTCTAGCTACAATTTTGTTAAATTTGACTAAAAGGCATGATTTAGATATCTTTAGTTATTAGTTACTGTTTTGATCATTTTAACCTTTAGCTGCAATTTTACTTCTTTTAGCCTTTAGCTACAGTTTTGCTAATTAGGCTATTAGGTATAATTATGCTACTTTTAGTGTTTAGCTACAGTTTTGCTAAACTTAGCTAATAGGCACTGTTTTGCTACTTTTAGCTGCTGTTCTTCTGGTTTTAAATCAAATCTCTCAGCCTCCCCAGCTCTCAGCGTTCAGACTGCAGCTTCAAATGTTGATTTCTGTTGTTTGGTTTTTGTTTTGAAGATATCAGGCTGAATCTGTCTCAGTTTCACTCCTGGCCTTCGGGATGTTTTCCCTCGTGCTGCAGCTTAAAGTCGGTCCGGGTGGGTGATGTGAAACTATCTTCGTGCTGGGTTTGATGGAGACACATGAGAAATCCAAGCTGAGCCTGTTAAAGCTACAGGTTAAAGATGGAGTCCGGCCAGCAGTCTGTGTGACGCTCTGCTGTTCTGCTCAGCCATTCTTGGTTTTTCACACCATAGCTGAACCCATACACCCTGTGAAAATCACCTCCGATAGTTTGAACAAGACCACAGACTTCAAAGAGAAACCTCAGTCCCACCGGGACGAGCTGAAACAACAAGTCTGATCCACAGAGGCCCGTTTCACAACTTTCAGGACATGAAGGATTTGCTGCAAATGTCTCAGCGGCTGATACCTCAGAGGAGTTCTGTGGCGTTCATGGATTCATTCATTCAACCGTTGTTTCTACAGATTAGTCCCATTGAGCCTCGGGAACTCATTTACAAGAGAGACATGATAACAAAGACTGATGACAACAGTAGACAATCATAAAAGTGTACACACTGAGAAGAACCAATGAAAGAAAATGGTATTTAATGGAAAAACGAAACAAAAACAGCTAAGTTGTAGGACCGTGTAGAAAACTAAAAACAGGAACATGTCTGCAGATGTTTGAAGCCACTTAGAAAGGTCAAGAGCTTCAGATCTTTTTACAAGATACTCCAGGAAACAGGAGCGGAGTAGGAGAAGGTCCTTTTGTCTAGTTCAGTCCTCACTGAGGGAACACTGCAGGTAATGATGTCCTGAGAGCGCACGCTGTAGCTGCACTCACACAGAGACATGTAGGAGGAGATGTATGAAGGCAGCAGACCAAGAAGTGATTTAAAGATGAAAATGTACCAGTGAGAGAGTCTGTGAAGTTAATGATGACCAGTTAACCAGTGAATACTGGGTGCAGTGGTGAGTACGGTAGTTACAGCCAGTTATGAATCTTAGTGCACCATGATAGACAGCATCCAACATCTGCAGCATCCAACATCTGCAGCATCCAACATCTGCAGCATCCAACATCTGCAGGGTTCTTATAGGTACGTTCATGTAAATAATGTCACCATAATCAATGGAGGGAAGGAAAGTCACAGATACAAGGCGTTTTCTAGCATTCAGAGTTAGACAGGAGCTGTTTCTGAAAAAGAAACCCAGTTTAATTCCAGTTTCTTTACCAAGTTTTCCACATGGAGCTTAAAAGAGACGTGAGTCGACCAAGATACCCAAATATTTGTAGGAATCGACAAACTCAATAGGGACACCATTTGAGGATAAAATCGAAGGAAAAACTGCTGGGACCGACTTCCTGTTTGAAAAAAGCATCCCTTTGGTTTTGTCGGTGTTTAGGACAAGTTTGAGGCGGAACAAATCTGACTGGATGATGTTAAAAGCGGATTGCAAAAGCTGGAAAACCTTAGCAACAGTTTTAGCTCGACAATAAACAACTGTGTCATCAGCATAGAAATGTAAGGCTCCATCAGGGATGCTCTGACCTACATTACCTATGTAGATTGTAAAGATCAGGGCTGCTTGCTGTGATTTGGGCTGATCAGTGTTCTTACCTGCCTTTAATCTCACACAGAACAATTACTAGTACAAATCTGAAAACACACGAAGCAGCTGAATGCTGGGGGTTCAGAGAGAGGATAAAAAGATGATAAACTGGAATGAGTTTGATGTTAAAGCAGTCTAGCTGATCAATCATGTCGCCCTTCATCCTGACCTTCAGCTTGTTGAGACTTCTTCTCATAACTGTCTCCTCCATCATCGTTCAGTTTGTAGTTTTTCCTCCGTGCCGTCTGTCTTCTCTGGCCGGTGGCGTCGTGAAGAAGAGCGAACAGCAGAAGGCAGAGCCCCAGACCTCTGCTCAGGCACCTCTGCAGCAACATCTCAAACCAGGCTGTGAAAACAGGCGCAGAGCTGCAGTTTGTAAAGCTCAGCTTGATCGAAACGAGACTAGTTCACTCAGATTATAGTAAAAATGCAAAAAGACGAGTGATACCTGACATTAAAGTTACACACCGACTTCAAATTTCCTGCATGTAGCGCAGAACTTCATCTAGTCTAAGTAAAATAAAAACTATTTAAATGCAGGGTGGTGTCATATTTACCTTATTTATTTGCGGTCAGTGCTGGCAGTCCGGGTTAGCCGAGTGTCTCTGGGAGGCATTTTGGTCCCGCTGACAATCGGGGTCTCTAAAAACCAGACTGAGATCCACCGAGGGCCACCAGAGGAGCTGATACGCTGTGGCTCGCTGCCAGGATTTCAATTAGCTGCGGATGAGCAGGAGTCATTCGAGCTGAGGCCTGTGATGACAGAGGTCAATACAAGTGTGTAACCAGTATACACAGGTACTCTGAACATTAAATTAATAACTGCATGTTGGCTGTCTGCACAGACAACACATTCTTTGTTTGTTTTAACTAAAATATGTTTCCTGTGATGCACAATACACTTATATTTGCTGTCAAATTAACATCTGAACTCAGAATTTTTCTGTCTGTACTTTTGAGGAAATATAGCTTTTAAATGCTAATTCTAGTAATAAAATAATGAAAACAATTAAATTCCATTCAGTTTATTTATATAGCGCCAAGTCGTCTCAGGGCCCTGAACAGAAAAATTCATATATAAAATAATAAGTTAATAAAAACATTCATAAAAAATAATAATTTAACATTATTTATGTGAGGAGCAGACTGCTTTGAGTTTAACTCTCGTCTTGAGCAAGCATGAAGGCGACAGTGGAAAGGAAAAACTCCCTCATGAAGAAGAAATCTTTAGCAGAACTAGACTCAGGACAAGTGGACCATCTGCTTCGACCGGCTGGAAAACAAGGAAAAGAACTACATGTATGATATTATCATGTTCAAAGTATGACATCAATGAATCTCATCTATTTCACATCAAATCTGAGCAGTTGTTGTGTTTTCTAAAGTTGATCAGCTGCCGTTAGTTGTAGATGTACATTCCCTGAGTGCTTTCTGAGAGTCTCATTAAAAAACAGCAAGTGGGTCCTAGTATATTTTGCTAACAAACTTACAGAATCAATTTAAACGGTTAATGCTAAAGTCTTGGGCAAATAACTTGTTCAACCAGTATCACTTAGAAGATGTGTTGATCAGCAGTAGAGGTATATTCAATTATTATTTTCTTAACATTTCATTCAAATCAATCCAAAATTAATTAAAATCTGTCAAGTTGTTCATGAGATATTTTGCTAACAGACATGTGGAGTTGACTACAAAGTTGTCAATGCCCAATTTAAACACAGATCTTTGGCAGTATGTTAGCACTCTGGATATGTGTGGTATTGAGGAAAAATGGCATTAGGCATGAGACATCAGCTCCATATTCACCACATCTAAACGGTACAGCTGAGAGAGGCTGGCGTACTCTTTTTGAAATGGGCAGGTGAATGTTAATTGAGAGTCAATGACCAAAATGTCTATGGAACTACGCCGTCCAAACGGCAGCAGTAATATGAAATAGATGTTTTAATAAGCGAACAAAGAAAACTCCTTACCAAATGTTGCAGATAAAAAGCCAGATTTATCAAAAATGCAAAAGTTAGGATCCGTATGTTACACATACAAACAGAACAAGGGAACACTGTGGCTCAAATAGTCTTGAGAAGGATGGCACCCCCAATAATTTAAGGTAAAACCTTAAATATCACTTTTTTGGATATGTAAAGTACCACAAGTATTAAAAAAAAACATTTACAGTCCGAATGTGTCCTTAATATTGTGGCATTAAGTAGTAAATTGTTTACAGCCAGTTAACATCTTACTTAAACGACTACAACCTTCTTGAATTGTTTCAATCTGGTTTTAAAAAACTCACCACAGTACTGAGTCGGCACTGTTGAAAGGTTTCACCATCCTCTAGCCACAGACTCTGGTCACTGTGTAATTTTGATGCTGCTGGACCTAACTGTTGCCTTTGACACAGTGGACCATCACATCTTCCTGTCTCGTCTGGAGAACTGGGTGGGCATTCAGGGTCCTGCTCTATGGTGGTTTAGATCATATTTAAAAGAGAAAAGCTTTTGTGTGCGCTTTGGTTCTGTGGAGTCCTCTGTAGCACCTCTCACATGTGGAGCACCTCAGGGATCTATACTTGCCCCCTTTCTGTTTTCCCTTTATTTACTACCTCTGGGATATCTTCTCTGGAAACATGCCATTTCTTTTCATTTTGACGTCGATGACAGACAAATTTATGTTCCATTAAAACAAGATAAACAGTACTCCCTGAACCAACTCCTTGAATGTACGGCAGAAGTCAGAGCAGGATGTCACAGAACTTTTTACATTTTAATGAGGAAAAGACCGAGGTCCTGTTGTTTAAGCCCAGTGATGGTTTCAAAGTCCATGCTGATCTGGGTTCTTTAACACAACATCTGACTGCGACAGTAACTGACCTGGGTGTGAGGCTGGACAATGATTTTAAACTGGATGCTCAGATTAAATCTGTGGTCAAGTCCAGCTTTTATCACCTGAGACAACTGGCCAAGGTGAAACCATTCCTGTCACAACATCATTTTGAGATTTTAATCTATGCTTTCATCACAACTCGTCTGGACTACTGCAATTCACTTTGTCAGTCTGAGCCAGTCATTACTGACGACTTCAGCTGGTTCAGAATGCTGCTGCTGGCACCAGAAAACGAGAGCACATCACCCCCGTCTTAAAATCACTACACTGGCTCCCAGTTCGTTTCCAGATTAATTTAAAGGTTCTTTTGTTTGTATTCAAATGTCTTCATGGTCTCGCCCCACAGTATCTGTCCAACCTGCTCCAGCCGTACGTTCCCTCGCACTCTCTGAGGTCAGCAGATCAGCTGCTGCTGGCCGTCCCAAAGTCCAAAAGGAGGCTGAGGTGACCGAGCGTTATCAGTCGCTGCCCCTAAACTGTGGAACGAGCTGCCTTTGCAGATCAGACAAGCTGTGAAGCTGACTCACTTCCTGTTTTTAAATCTTCTCTGATGACTCATTTTTTCTCTTTGGCTATTAACGCAGCTTGACTTGATGGACAAGCCCCCCTGGTGGTCTGGTGCACTCTGTTTTCTGGAGTTTGTAGCGTATCTTATTTGCAGTTGTTTTGGTGTTTTTAGTGTTTTTGGAAATTGCAGCATTTTTCCTTTGCATTCGTTTTTCTTTTTTATGCTGTGTTTATTTTCTGTGATTGCAGATTTTTTCTGTTGCATTTGTTTTTTTTTTGTTTGTTTGTTTTGGAGTTAGAATCATTCATGTGTTTGCACTGCATTTTAACTCATTCAACACTTGCTCTTGTCAAGGGCGGACGTCTCCTCCTCTCCCTCTCCGCTTTGCTTTTGCTCTGTCCTGTCTTTGAAACTGCTTTAGAGCCTCTCTTCTACATATCGTCCGAATCATAACTATGGACTTGGATTTGATCAGTTGGTCCCTCGACACAATTGATAACATTTCTTTGAAGAGAAGACAGGCTTTAGGTGAGTCGATTTGCCCTGTTGGCACGCACACAGCTGGATATCTCATCGACTTTGAAGACTTGATGACGCGTCTATCACTGCTATTATTATTATTATCTGTGGATTTTAAGGACACATTTATAATTGGATTTATGATAAGTGGTTCCTGGACTAGCAACAAACAAGGACGTCGGCAGCAAATCTGGACCTGGTCAGGCTGCCTGCCTTATATGATGGCTTGGTTCGTGCCTCGAGCTCCCAGACTCTTGGCAGAATAGATCAGATCTCAGGGATTATTCTTAGGCACGTTCCATTGGTATGGTCATTTAATTTGGACATTTTGGAAGCGAGTGGACCGACACAGACTCAAGGAAGATGTCACTAAGGTTCTGCCTGTCCCCAAAACAATCGTGTTTATCTGAATTTGGCTCCCTGACTGGCCTTGAGAGGCCATCTTATCTCAACCCACCTGGAAAGTTTTGTAAACCTGATGCTCAGCCCCTCCCTCTCCTCCTACTGAGGAATTTCCATGGACTTTTCAGAGTCCAGCTGAATAAACATTCTGTCATCATTTCAGGACTCTGGATTTGTCTCTGGTCGTCCTCGGCACCCCCCGAGTGTGCACGGATCTTTCCAGAGGGAACTATTTGAACTGAGTGATTTTTATCTGAACTCTGCAGTGCCTCTGTGTGTTGTCTCTGACTGCTCACCGCCCTTGCACCCCCCCGCGTAATGTCAGCGTCATTATGTGCTCGTGTGCGAGATTTTTTTCATTATCACACTGTTGACCTTCAAACAGAGGTTAAAAGTGTTAGGAATTTTTTGTCTCCAAACCCTATGTGTCATTTTCCACTTTTTATTGTCTGTCCAAACAGGTCTCACTTGTAAATGAGTCTTCGAGCCTCAATGTGACTTATCCGTTTAAATAAAGGTTGAATGAATAGCTGTTTGATGTGTGTTTAGCTGTTTGCACCTTGTTTGCACCTGTCGTCCACCGTGGAGGTCGGACTCCTCAGCAACTAGCCGTGAAAGACGTACCTCTTCTGGGGTAAGATGAACTAGACTTTTACATAAGCTCTCATATTAAAAAAGTGAAGCACCACTTAGTGGACAAATATAAAAATCGAAAGTTTGGTAACAAAGGTACAATGAAAAAACATTACAGAAAGGAATGCGTTATTTTATGATATGGGTAAGGCTGTATCCTGAACCGAGGTTCTTTTTTGGTTCTGACCGAACTGCATCAGTCGGTGTATGGATTGAAACATGACTCTTCTTTCAGTGTCAAGTTTTGGTGATTGGCTGTAATGTGACATGTGGTTTCAGCATGCAAGCAGGTAAAACACAGACATATGGCAAACAGGCATGCGTGTTTACACCCAGAGCTGTATAGAACTGCCGTATAGCTGTATGTCTATAGTGCTGGTTACGCCCACAGACAGGGTTCAGGTGCGCAGCGTGTGTCGTTGAACGGCTTCAATTTACGAGCGGAAAGTTGCTCCGTGTTTGTCTGCAAGGAGAGAGGACCGCAGCCTCCCCTCCTCCTCTCTCAGCGCTAAAGTCAGCCTGTGAATGATGAACGGCCTGATTCAACATCTCCACAACCGGACTCTGCTTCGCACCGAGGACGGAGCTGTGTCTGGGATTTCAGCTGGTAAATTTATGTTTGTTAACATTACTGCAGCTTAAGACGTGCATTGCGATGA